TACCCTATATTAAATTAAATACTATCGAAATACTACACGTAATAAAGATAATTTTACTTGTGTTTAATTAAACACAGGTTACAAAGCATGCAATATCCTGGTAATTTATACGAAATTTAAGAAATAGAAGACTTTTTTTTTTTGTATAATACATCGAGTCTGAGGGAAGAACAACTCTTCCTTCCCTCGCTCCATCCTATACTCTAAATGTGGTATTATCGCACCGGAAATTAAAACAGTTAACGCTTTTATTACTGGGCCACAATTTGGATTTAATAATGGCTTTAAATCGTCGAGTCGGTTGGAGGGTTATTAAGAGGATGGGAGCCGTATCCTCCGAACTAATGGTCCGATTTTCCTGAAAATTTCTAGGAACATTTCCATCTAATACGCAAATCTCCCTGCAAAATTTCAAAAAAATTTAAGAAAATACACAGGAGTTATTAAGCTTCAAACTGAATGAAAAGTCGAGTGGATAAATTATCGAACATTGGTAGAGGTCGTGGGTTCGCTCCCGGTCACGTGCAGTTTCTCGGTTTTGACCAGATTCTATAGAAAGTCCTCCACCCGAAGATGGCCTAAAAATCAGGCCGAAAACGTTTGTGTATTCTTAAACAAATAGTACGACACGTAACATATTTAGAAACTTCGACCTTTAACTAATCCCACGTATTTGAAAAATACATTATATATATATAAAGATCGATCGTAAATACCTTTTATAACGATAATAAACTGTAAAACCGAAACAAATTGTATTACTTTTTAGGATTCTCTCATCGTCCTTGGACTACTTTTCGTCACATTATACATTTCCACGCATGGGCACCCGCAGAAAATTTTCCAGGAGGTGGCAAAGCTTGGAGACAAATAAATTGCATCAATTTATCCACAGGATGGTCAAGCGCCCAGTTTGCACCCCTTCTGTGAATGTCCACGCTTCTACACTTCATTGTCGTACATCTACATCGTTAACACACCAGCTGGACCTCACTGGACGAGCAAAAAAAGGGCAATCGACAGGGTCCACCTCCAATAGGGGCCCCAAACATCGATTACAAGAAAATAGTTACCCCGAAGAGAAATGTCTGAAGTCATCACTGTACAGTACGTGGCACCCCTAATTTAAATTCGCCCGGAGCCAATGAAGCTAGGGCTCGTCATTGTTAGACCCGTGGCACTTTATCCTACTTCTATTTAAAATACAGCGAAAGTCAATAATAAAGATCGAAAATGAATTTTTGAGGGAAGATAAAAATCTGTACGAAATTTGGGTATATTTATACCATTTGCGATAATTTCAACACGGTAAATGCATCTTTTCTGTTTAAAAGTGTGCCATTTAAAGCCATTAAAGGCAGGGCAATTAGCCTTATCAGTCATTAATGTCGCACGCATCTTTGCTTTACCAAATCTTTAAAACCAAGAACGAGTGCAGAAATTGGAAACGTATCGATCGTGGAATCGAACTTTCGTCCAGAAATCGATTGGTTAATCGATTTCTGGACTCGGCCATTCATCCTATGGACTCGTAAAGCCTTAGAGCATCAGGTTTTTACATGCATCATTATTTGGTAGAGAGAAAGGGCCAGTTAAATGTTATAGGGGCCTACATGTATTTCGCCAAAAATACATAAAGCTTTTACGTTTTCCATTGTCCTAATACAATTTTTAATACGACTCCCCGAAGGCTGGTAGTTGGTTGGTCCACGTGGAGTTTTCTGGGTCTTTTTCACGTTAAAACAAGAGCAGTTTTCCACAGAAAGGCCACTCGGTAGATCGTTTACGTATTAAATTACTTTATTAACTCCACGATACTCACAATAAAAATGTTTAGTATGTTGCAACTTATACCATTCCTCGGCTTCCTCGTGGCACCCAGAAATAAAGCTAGCGAGATTATGGCTAGTTGTAATCCATGTGGGCAGCAAAGGGTATGACCAACAAATGGTGTGAAACCACTTCTATACAATAGGGCCATCTATAACCATTCAAATAATTTTCCAGTGAAGGGGAGATTAGTTCCGGTAAACCGCTAAGTTTATTTTACTTATCAGAATTGCCGTTTATTAGGGGGGTTAGTGGCTGTGTCACGGTCGATGTCACGCGGCTTACGTCAATGGAAATGAAACAGAAAAAGTAGGGGGTTTGTTTTCCCACAGTTCCTCTATAACGGATGTATTCGTCGATATTATTTCATTCAATAGAGACCCCATTTAGGTGTTACACGCGTAAAGAAAACCAGAGAAATTCCACGTATTAGCAGAATTGATCCATCCTACCCTAATAAGTAAATGTTTAATGTTTGGTCCACTTGCCCATGAGGGATTGAGGGCTTTCGTCGTGTTCAGTTGTTATTGTTTGCAGAGAAAATACATTCTATTCTTCTACCACGTTTATACAATTCGATACGTTTCTTATTTTTTCTGTTTATTAAAAATTAATAAGAGTAATTCAAGTAAAAACGAGGGGGATGGAGACTTCACCCCGGTATCAGGTATATTGTTATAAGTAAACATTCTTAAGTTACATCTTATTTAACCGCAATAAGCTTTATTACTTAGAAAATAAGAATGGAATCCGAACCTTTTAACCTTCTTCATTTCTTTAATATTGTATGGCTCTATGGAGACCACTCAAAAATAAAGTCTTCGGAAACACTTGGCGATCTGCCGAGGGGGAGGACCTTCTACGAGAAAATGGCCCCCGTTTAGGTGTTAAAAACGTGAGGAAAACCCAGGAATAACCACGCAAAGTTTCTTTGTAGAGTACTGGCTTAAGTTGTGGTCTTTTTAGAATCAACGTAGTCTTCTACTTCTAGTGCTCCTTGGTCCTTCACACCGGTTTGTGTCTAATCGAGAACGATACCCTGGTAAACGCCGTATTTCCGGTGAGGAATTTTAACAATACTCACCTCCAAAGATAAATCGAAAACATTTCAGATGATTCTCGTCCAATTTCATTGGTAGGATCTTCGGATGACGTCCTTCTCTACCTACCTAAATGGCGAAATACAACATGCCAACGGGTGTCTTCACCTGTTGTACTTCGTTACGCTCTCGACAGATGGAGCCTTGGTGAATACAGTCGCCTTCTGTTTTCTTCTTTTCTGTATTATACCTGGTGTCTACGCGTGTTTGGGATTTCAATCATATTTTGTGTTAAATTGTATTGTTTTACCGTTTAATCTGTGGCACGTGTGTAACCTTTCGATGTTTCTATTAATGGATTTACCAATTGTTCTTTTAATTTTCCTTCAAGAACAAATGCCCTATGAATTTCCTCTTCCCGATCGATTTTTATGAAATTGCTACCACGTTACGGTCAAGAGTAATAAGGTCAAACATTAAAATTTAAAACACGAGCGTATTGTTACGTCAGAAATCCTCCTCCGATCCGATTTTAAGGGGCCTTTGCCCCTTAACAATACTACAAGTGAATAAGACCACAGAATCCCACAGGGTTTTCTTCACATTTGTAACACCTAAATAGGGGCCAGTTTCTCGTAGAAAGTCTTCCTCGGAGGTAGATCGCCCACGTGTTGCATTGCCGTATACAATCAATCCAATCCCAGGACCCACTCCTGAAATTTTTCCAAGGTGTGGTTCCTATCCGCTAGTTTAAGATTTTATTTTTTTGTTAGTAAGTGTAACATTAATTTATAGGGTTAAGGAATCACTACGGGGCCCTAATTTTCCCTAGAAGTCCAGGGAAAAATCCCCCAATTCTCCACCCCTCTCCATTATATCGATGAAAGGCCACGGTTATTATCCGTAACCAGCAAATAACGTTCCCCCTTTTACCGTCCGGTGCCCAAGAATGTAAATTAGTGCAATAGACTCCTCCCGGTTATCCTTAAATCGCGTACAGTGTTGTACAGTACAATGTACTGTACAAGTGCAAGTAATAAATAAATCGTTTAACTGTTTACATATTTAATCCCGTTATCGTCTCAGTCAACTAAACCGGAATTATCCCCATAATCTACTTCCTCCCCCGTATATGTCGCGGGTCGTTTATTGTTATCGGTGGTGTTAGGGTGAGCCCCCGAGAGGAACGATTCCACTGCATTAATATTTGTGCCCATCCGTTCATTCGTCTCACGTTTTCTCCAAGAGCCGCCATCTTTTTATTATTAAAAAAATCCCTTTGCTTTGATCGGATCCCTTTTAAGATAGGAGAATTCTTGGGAGTCGACCAAATTGGATAGGGAAATTCCCCAGTCGACTTTGTCCAGACGAAAGAACGTTGGCTACTTTATGGAAGGAACCATTTATTAATCTTTTGAAGATATATTAAGGAAAAGATAGAAGAAATTGGAGAATGGAACGAAGATTTTTCTCTTCTTCCCCAGTGGCGCGTGGTAAAAAAGAGCAATTGTCTGGGTGCAACACCAATACGGAGCCTCAACCAAGTCTTTTATAAGAAAGCATTTCCTACAGATAATTCCTCCGTAGAAAAATGTCTGAAGCAAACACTGTACTGTACTTTGGGGCCCTAATTCCTCGTTCCCTATCAAGTGTCTACGTCACGATAGAAGGTTCGTTTATTATCGTAGGTTCGACTCTCAACTCCGGAATAATAAACAACTCAAGGTTCCGATCCCACAATTCAATTCCATTATCCGAAGTTTTTCAGGTGTTCGCTCCTTCCACCCCGTAATGTCTTCTTCTCCTTCTCTTTACGCTCTGCGGTTGTTGGGTCGCACCTCTCCCCTTACCAATTGAATTCTGCTTGTCTAAGGTGACTTCGACGAGTCCCGAAGGTTTTAGGCTGGGGTTCTGTCGCCCTGCACGGAAGAGTTTCTGGCGGTGGGGGTCGGGGTGCTCCTCCCCTCCTGTCGACCCGCCCGCCCACTTCCGGCGTCGGGAGCGCTCCCGGTCCGCGCGCGCCGACGCGATCGATGCGGCGGGCGCCGCCCACGCCGGCGGGGCGCCGTTTATTGGTGGCGCCGGCGCATGCTCCGATCGGCGGGGATTAAAAGGTGGGCCGGAATTTTTAAAAGGCGCAGAATTATCCGTCGACTCCCGGAACAGGAACCGCATCGCACGCGCTCCGGAAAATAACGGATACGTCGGTCGGCTCCCCCTCTTCGATTGGACACAGTCGACGGATCTCGTCCGCGCCATGATCCGAGGGGCTCCTCGCGTCGACGTCTTCGTCTTCGTGCTTTTCGGACTGGCCAGAGGCGCCTACCTCATCGACTTCTCGCACGTCTTTCACCGAAATTTGGCCAACGTCAAGAGAGAAGGTGGGTCCTAAATCTTCCCTCCGATCCATCGGCGCCTCCGACTCGATTCCGCCGCCCTGCGCCGCTCGCGCCGGACCCGGTACCCGCCGAAGCCGCTCCGGGACCGGTCACCCCACTCGGGCCGACGGGGCGCGCGCGATTCTTTTTCCACAAAGTCCCTTTTCCCTTCCGCCAAAACCCAACCCCGTCCCGATGCGCCGGAGGCGGTCTTCGCTCGATTTTCGTTTCGGCGGGCCAACGACCCGCCCACTTTTTCCAACACCTCTCCGAACGGAGGCGCGAAGGGGGACGACCCCCTTCGCGCCTCCGTTTAGTCACAGGTGGGCAACAGGAAGAATCGAGTGGTAGAAGACGTCCCGTGGGTACAGAAGCGGTTCCGGAAGTGGGGGGGGTTGGATTCGGGCCCAGGGGGGACGTCGTCCTCTCTCCTCGGTCGTTTTCGAACCCGTCGGCCCGATTTACGGGACTATTACGTCCGACGGATCCTCTCGATCGATAGGATCGCGCGCTCTACCTCCATAGAAAAACGCGGGTTTCGCACGCGACGGGACGTAATCCGGTGACCTTCGACCTTTACTCCGACGGTCGTGATTTTCGAGCCTCCATCCGACTCCACGAAATTTAAGGAAAACTTTTCTCGAGAGACGAACGAACGGCGGTAAAACGGTATTTGGGAAAAGGGTGAGATGAAAGCCCGGAAATACGTCATAGGATCCGCGTGCCCTCCGTCCCAGGAGGCATACAAACCGGGAAAAGATCCCAAAGGGGAAATGGGAGTGTTTTAAGGAACGGGGAAGGTTTCTAGCAAATTGCGTTGGAGAAAACAAGCCGGAAGGAGAATCGGAAGAGAACGACGTCGGTCATCCCCCGATAAGAAAGGGGGTAAACAGGTTAAAAGACCACACCGTCGACTTCCGGCCTGAATTAAACGTGCTGGTAAAAAGGAGGGAACCATTCATTGGCGTCTTCTGAGTTAATCTTAAGGAAGTTAAAGGCACTTCATCCTCATTCTCATCCCTCCGCGCGCTTTCGTCGACACCAAAATCACCCGGAAACGGAAAGGGTCCTCAATTTCTTCCGTTGTTTCGTACGGGGTGATCGGCCGCCTTCCGATCCGGATCCGGTGGCCTTTCTCTGCACGCGCACGCTGCAGTCGGCGGGGGTGGAACCGGAGTCCGTGCCAAAGGCAATCGGTTTTGTTTCTGTTCGATTGGACAGAAACAATACTCCGACGAACGAAGGTTGGAAGGAAGACGGGAAGAAGAATCATTCGTGGATGTTTGTTTCTTTCCATCTTCCTTCCAATTTTCATAGACAAACTCACTTGTATCCAATTCGTTTTCGTCCTCTCCGTTTCTTCTCTCTTCCATTCGAGTTTTCCACCAAAATAACAGAAAATAAGGTGGAGGGATCGAAAATAACGATGAAGGAAGGAGAAGAAAGGAAGAGGAAGGAGGAGGAAAGAGGAGGAAAGAGGAAGATGGGCGTGTGGGCGGTTGGGTGGGTGTGTGATTTCTTCGTCTTTACGCATCGAAAGAGATAAACTTAGGTGAGAAAAATACATCGAAATAGATCAAACACTTAGAAAAGATCACAAACACTTCGAATACTATCGTGTTTTACCTGTTGTTTATGACGTCGACACTTGAAGGCCTTCCTTCTTTCCGCTTTCCTCCACGGATGAGAGGAAAGTTTTCTACTCTATTACGGTAACGGTGACGTAATTTTACGTGTCTATCGACAATCTTCTCTCGCTAGTACTAGACCCAATGCCGACGAGGAAGATTCGAACTTTATACGCCACCCGGAATAAAGATAAATTTGCAAAGAGAAGATAGAACGGGCAGACTCGCGGGGGAGTTCCTCGTTTCTTTCGTTTTAACGCGACGTTACTCGATATTCGGGGAGTTTTCCCAAGGGGACGAAGGAGAAGGGAGGCTTGGGGCGTTCGATCCCCGGATACCATCCCCGTTGGATAACGTAGAAGGAGGTGGAGATGGGAAGGGCCATCACCGCCTATGAAGAACACGGGAAGGGCCGGATCGGTTTTTCCCGGAGGAAGGAGAAACGTTTCGGCGGGGGGACGACCGGAAGACTTAATTATGACGTAACCGAGACGAGTCGTGTCTCGGTATGGGCGGTGAAGCTCCTTCCGGATTGTCTGCATTCCTTTCTATTCCAAAGAAAATCCCGTCTTAGGCATTAAGAGAAAGCGCTTTCCGTCGCTCTCTCCATTGTTTTTTCCGTCTCTCCCTTTCCGACTTGGTCTTTTTTCCCCCCTTACTGCGGCTTTCTTCCGCTTCCTTCCGGACTAGCGCGCCGTTTTCCGTCGTATCTTTTCTCTCCTTCTTCTCCGACTGGACCAAGATCCATCGCTGATCTCGCTGATCCCCCAGTGGCAGACCGACCTGGGGAGGGGGAAGAAGATTAAGGCAATGAATCGATGGATTTGGGAATACGGACAAGGACGTTAACGTTAAAGTAAACAAATACAGTAATCCCCCGTTTACGAGAATTCGCTTTAACGGGATTGAAAGATTTTTAAGAGTAAAATACCGTATTTCGTAATCCCTATTGTAAACGGCTACGTATTTTCGTGGAGCCAATTCGGAGGGATCGCTATAAACGAGAACGTGGAGAAGGGAACAAGAGCTACCCCCAACCTCCGTATGAAGGCCGAGAAAACTGGGGGGGGGGAGAATTCCGGCGCGTGATCTAGTACCCGTACTTTCGACGTCATGGCTCGCCTTTGTCCTCCTTAGACGAGTTGTATTATACTCTTCCCCCAAAACCTAGCGAGACGGCAGTCGCACCGTATGATACGTACTGTATTGTACTGTACTGTACAGTACATACTTCCCTATTCTCTCCCCTCCCACGCTCGTATGTTCTTTTTCTTTTTAGTAGTCCGTAATACGGACGTGTCTTACGTTAGTGATAAATAAGTAAATAGATAAATAAATAATAATTTTCTGCCGTTACGCGAGTAAAATTCTCTCGCCAACATGGCGAAGAGCAGAAACCATTCGAAGAATCGATGGCAGATTTGAGGGTTTTAACACGATTTTTACTTTCGAATTTTTTAAGGAAATCATTCCCGACACCTTTTATTTATCAAAAATTTCATTCGAATTCTTATCCATCTTCTATTTACTACACAAAAAAGCTTCTATTGTAATCCAAGTATAAAGAGAACAGATGACTCGATAACGGCGTGATGGATGACACCGTTCGTGCCTTCTATCTAACAAAGTTTAACAGTTTTCCTGATTAAATTAAGATGTTTCCATTTGGTTTTCTGGTTTTCCAACAGTGGATTTTGCAAATTAAATAGAGAAAATAGAGGAGGATGAAGTGTCTTAACCACACACCATCTACAATAGTATCATTGTGAATTTGAATGGACGTTCACACAAAAGTTCGGTTATACCCGGATTTACGGAATTAAGAATGAAAATATAACGTTAAACCGGGTATACATGTACCGGTATATCTGTCAGGTATACCTAAATGCCCGGTATATCGGGCAGACTCTCCTGTTCAGGTGTGTATGCGAAGAGCACGATTGTTTTTTACCCACTTTAAAGCTTAATAACTCCTGTATCTTTTGTCGAAAATTTCTAAAATTTTGCAGGTAGTTTCGTGTATTAGGGGGTGATTTTTGTAGAAATTTTCGGGAAAATAGGACCATTAGTTCGCGAATAATGTTGATTTATCGATATTTTAAATTAATGCTCAAGGATACAATTATAAATGCATATTCTTTAATTACTTGAATTAATATTAGAATTAAGAATTGATTTTAATGTAAATGCTACGACTAATTAAGACTCAATTCAATATAAACGGGAGAATATTTAATGTAATAAACAACACGGTGATAATTGCAAATTGAAATTAATTCAGATGGAAATATCAGGAATATATGCAAACTTCATCTTCTGCATAAAAAGAAAAGTAAAGAAATTAAAAAAGAAATAATTAAAACAATGCATTCGATTCTTTTCTCACCTTTCTGGTATATTAATTGCAGAAATTAGTAGTTTTTTTAACAAAATTTTCCCCCGAAAGATGTTAGATAGATGACCTGCACGACTCTGATGTTAAAGGAAAAGTATGATTTACAGGGGCAAGCCACTACTAATTTGAGGTGGAAAGCATATATTTTAAATTAAATAAATTAAAAATACGATTAAAAATTGCCGCCCGACATCTCTAGAAAGGATTAAAATCCGCCTGACCATTAGGAAAGAGAAGAGACAGGAAACTTGCCTTGGAATTTCTCTTCCAAGATGGCATTTTATTTATACCAGAGGTTCTTTTACATTGCGTGTGACATCAACGAGTGCTTTGGCTGCGTATTTTTCTGCGGATAAAGAGTGTACGAGAGTTCAAGGGTGGGCGAGAGGTTGCTAATTAGATTGGCCACTTGAATTTAACTCACTGGATTGGTTCATCGCGACAGAGACCTAAAAGATATTGCTGCAAGCCCTTTTATATTATTAATTATAATAAAAAGCTAAAAGAATTGAGGATAGAGATGAGTTTTAAAAACTGTAAATGCTAATAACGATTAAAATTTTCATTAAGTTCGACCCCCACACGAGATACGACACGTCACTCCCTTCTGTCTCCTTACCTCTTCGATCTTTAACCACGAAAATTTAATAGAATCAATGACCTTTATACACAAGCCACCGTGTCAAATTTCGTTTGTTAATCTTTACTTCATGTTAAGATATTAAACGAAATAGATTCCAACACATCCACCCGTACACACGCTAAAATGATGCCCACCGGTAACCATGTGGATAAGTGGATAACACTGGTAATTAGTCGCGGGTTGGCACCCGGCCAAAGAGCTTGCCACGTGAAGTTTTCCGGGTTTTCTTCACGTTCGTAACACCTAAATAGAGACCAGTTTCCCACAGAAAGTCCTCCCCTTGCTAATTCATCGTGTGTTGTGTTCAGTACCGTGTTACTTACAATAGAAGATGATTGGTTTCCTTATTCTCGCCTCACTTCCTTCTCTTTCGGTTCCGGTTTTCTATGGGGTGTACCTTTGGTCCAATTGGAATAGAGTGACTTCGCGTTATAGCTACTTGGGGCCTGGACAAATTTGAATTAAGGGACCCCACGTACAGGGTTGACTTCGGGCATTTTTTCGGGGAAATCCCCCGGTTTTTTCGATCCTCTGGAGGATTAAGTTCTGCTCTTCGTCTTCTCCAATTTAAGGCCTTCAGAAATAGTGCCAAGTTTAAATTTCGATATTATTACTACAGTAATGAATTTATAAAAGATTGGTTTGGGCCTTTTGTTGTTGGGGCCTCCCGGACAATTGTCCTTTTTGCCCATAGGATAACGTGCCACCGCCTGAAGACACTCTCATAGCAACGAAAGATGCTCGTTGATTACGGATTAACGCGAAGGCCTTTAAAAGAATTCTGCTCTACATCAAACACACAAGAACACGAGTGGTACTTTGTGTGTAGGAAAATGGACAAACAGAAAATTTTGGCTTACTCATTCGCCGATTAGGGAGGAGATAAAGCACGTTTCCTCGAGGATATTAAAGTATTATTTATTAATATATTTTAATTAGTACGCCCGAAGCGCCACCGAACTTAGTTCCCGAGGCAGTCATTACAACATGGCGACCATCGACGTGTCATCTACGTAAGTAGTTGATTGTTTATCGCTATAACTTATTAAACCAAGCGTAATACCAAGTCGTAATATATCAATAAGTGTTAAATTTAATGGAAATGCTCTCCGGTTAATCGGAAATAACTTCGTTATTCGAGTAAGAACGATCCAGGACGGCGGTAAGGAGAAAATTATCGAAGTGTCTTCCCCGTTTCTACCGATATTACGGTAATTGTTTAGGGAATCGTTGTTGAACTAGTACGGTCGATGTTTATTAACGACGTACCAGATTTCTGGCGATTTAAACGGGAAGGAAACCACTTTGAGTAAATTACAGCCACAGTACATCTGCAATTAACCGACTCCATTTTTTTTCTAAATTACGAAAGGAAATTTTAATGTAATTCAATCTTTTTTTCATTCTCCTACCTCTTCTTTTCGTGTGTAGAATTGCAGAAGTAACGGATCCTTCGAACGTACTAATGGAGTAGGCAAGAAGCCAAGAAGGATCCGTTATTGCTACAAAGAACTGTTGATAGTCCTTTGAAAAAAGGTCGAAAATCGCTGGAGTAAAGAAGAATTTGTATTTGACCCGTTATTTCTTCCTTTGTACATCATATCCGGTACAAACGTACCGGTATATCTGAAAAGGCCCGCTTTACGGTATACCTGAAAGGTAGTAGGGACGTTTAACGTATTGTTTTATCAAAGTATTAGGCTCTTCAGGATCAACGTGGGCTTCCATCTTTTACTTTTCAGCTTTCTTACGTTCTTCTCTCGTTTACCTTTTTTTATGGCTCTGTCGATGATGGCAACTCTAGGGAGAATTCCTCTTGGGTTTTCAGGATAAAGGATTTCTTTACAATGCCGAACAACTGCTTCTTCCTTTAATTATATAATAATATTATTATCTAGTGGCCAATAAAAAGTTGGTTACGCTGACATCTTAATCACACAATCCCGCGTAACTGATTACTCGCCCGTGTAACTTGCCCACGAATTACCTGTGACGTAAGTTCTATCAATATATTTACGTAGAAATCTCCTTTAAAACCCCGAATATACGGGGGAAAATAGGATCCGGTTAAGCTTTTTTACTATACGAAACGAATTCATTATGTGCCGGAAACTCGAATCCGACATCATCTGGAGGAAACGACGTCGTTCATCCAATCGGATAACGGGATATCGATTTATATGTATTTGTTCTCGTATTAAATTTCGTTTTACGTAACGACACGGAGGATTTCGACGTCACCAGAGTTGCATTATAAATAAACCCGGATAATTGAATTTATCCGGATAGAAATCGATCTTCGCTCGATCGATATAACACTTGAAAAGCACGATTTTCTTTATAGCTTTTACGAATTGTTATCGATGTTTTGTTTGCAACGTGAAAAATAACGGTGCCTACTATCAATTTTTATTAAATTTTATAAGGAAACAAACGTCTCTATTGTTTACATTAAGTCCCTAGTGTTTCGAGACATCAAATTACCAATTAAAGGATTCTAATCGAAGGATCCTACTCCTTTGCTCGAAAGGGTAAGAGACGATTTGGCGCTTTGTTTTACGTCATTCGAGTTTTCCGATGGCGTCACACTATCCAAATTTTGTCTGTTTCCTAATACACGAAAGCTATAGACTCGAAAGGAATCGATCCCAAGAAGGGTTATTTCGTCGTACGTTTCCACACGAGGAAGGTTAATCCCAAATTCGATTAACTTTTCTCATTTGAATAGAACGCACTTGGTAATCCCGATCGATATTCCAATAAGCGCGAGCGTTATGTTAACACCTTTTCTGCAACGGGGATTAACCATCTTTAAGTGCATTAGGGGCATGACGTCACATTATTAGCACCAGCGTTGATTCATAAGAGACAGGGGAATATCCCCCAATTATCACCCTTACCATGATATATACGTATGTACTGTATATTTATATCACACTGCAAAGAAACGAGTACACTACACAACAGGAAGAGAAGGGGAAGAAAGAATTAATAAATTAACTCTCGTGTTTTCGTTACAGTGGATCCGGATAGATGTCACCCGACTCAACCGTTTCGGTGTCCTGGAGACTCCACCGTTTGCATCTCCATCCAGTATCTGTGCGACGGGGCGCCCGACTGTCCCGATGGATACGACGAGGACCCCAGACTATGCACCGCAGGTAAGACTCGCGCCCCTTTTTTTTCACGTGACCAAAAATGAAGTCCATTATCCTTCCTCCTGAGAGAGAATGATGGACTTCTCAATGTCCAAAAACTGGGCATTTAAAGTGTTTAAATGGAATTTTTCCTCGTCGTTTTTTAACCCCGTCACGTGCCGTCGTAATTGGAAGATAAGTAATCCTTAACTGTTGTTATCGCCGTTTCCTTTGTTTTCTTTTTATTACGGTAGATCAGCGTTTATCTCTGATTTCGGTAATTAAGATCGATCTTATATCGATCTTCAATCGATACACTATTTACTAACTGTGTGTACTATAAACCTCAAAACAAAGGAACTTAACAATATATACTGTAAACCACGTAAACATGTTTTACGATTGTTACAGGTGAAGAACACTTAAGACAATGGAAGACAGAAGAATCCTCTCGTAAACACCTCTACCAATGGCGGTTCCTTGTAACACTGTTAACAAATAACTAGGACGTGAGGAAACGTATAAAATTAACTATTTTTCTCGAATTTTTCCCAAAAACCTATACAATTGAAACCTTTATTCTTTGCTGCCATTGTTAAATAAAGAGGCTCAATAACCATTGATATTATTTACTTAACGATTAATAAAATACAGAAACGAGTTGCGTAACTTTCCCGGCTAAAAATAGTCGTGTTTAAGAAATACTAAAGACACGTTACCACGAAATTACAATTGTATAAGGCTCCCCTTGTTATGAGACATTAAAAAATAACTTTTACATTATTAATTGTTATAAAGAAGGTTAATTTTTGAAGGTAGAGTCCTATCCCACACGCGACCATCTCTATACTGTGTGGTAGTGTCGTAGTGTCGGGTGTGTCAGCTAATTCTATAACTAGAAGAAGAGCAGAACGTCTTCAATCTAATAAGTTGGCATCACTTTCACACGGCTACGGCTGGTTTTACACGGAAATGCCATAAACTTTTGGCTCCGGATGAAGGTATTAAGATTGATGAATGTGACAGATATTCGTTGGATCCAGTCAAAAGTATTAAGATTGATGAAGGTGCAATACGCGAAAAGCAATCGAATTATTCTTTTGTTGCGACAGAAGAGCGAAAATACTGAAAATGCAATTGTTTTTTGTACGCCAAAAAATGAGTAGATTTTAACACCAAAATCTTACTTAATTATTAAATTAAACGGACGAATAACTTAACATTTTTAAGGTTAAAATAAACCGGGAATACATACACTAATTGATTTATTTCCCTGTCGTGAGGAGACGACATGACACTAAAGCCGTGCAATAATTTATAATAAATGCAATTTTTATTAATACTTTCCCGGTTGTTATATATATATATATATAACGGAGGAAAAACAAACCCCCAAGATTTTTACATTTTTTTTTTTTTTTGGGACATAGGACACATTGAAACGTCGAGAAATGCAAAAAAAATTTGGGGGTAATTTTAGCGGGGTACGATTTTTGTTCACCCTATTTGAAGCTTAATAACTCCTGTTCTTTTCGTCGAAAATTTCTGAAATTTTACAGGAAGGTTTGTTTAATATGAGGGTCGATGCTATTAAAATTTGGCGGTTAAAGGTCAAGGGGGTGAGGAGATAATGAGGATCGTGTGTATCTCCAGTAGGATCCTTAACCTCATTGTTAAGCTGCAATATTTTAAAATTACAGCTCAAAACAATAGCCTGACAGGTGTGATTCATAAATAAAAAGCAACCCTGCCTTAACACAATTTTGCAGTTTATCGGTTGCTTATTTAAAAGGATGTCGTGGCATTTAGATAGATTGTGTCCATGATTATAATTTGATCTGCATCGAAGCCTTGGGTAACGAGTATTTTCTTTAGGGTTGCACGCTTGATTGTACTTAAATCAATAGAAAAGAGAAAACTGGGGTGTTCTGCAATGCAAATTCTTTCTTTGTTGGATAGTAGGAAATCTAAAAGTAAGATACCACAAAGATGGCGTCTAGTACAGTAGCAACGTCTCTACACCGGATTTTATTGGCTCTCGTGTCACTTTTATTTATGTATAACGGAGCAATTGTCAATCAATACCCTTCTTCCCAATATTTTTTACATTTTTAAACTTAAAACACCAAGAAATTTTTCAAAATTTTCATGTTTTTTCTGTACGTTTGGGTGCTAGTATGTGTGTGTGTGTGAAGGGGCGATAAGTATTGCCACTTCGCTATCGAAATCGAAATCTTACGAGATTGCCACGAATCTTTCGAGTATCGTAAACCAGTCGTGGAGGACCACCCATTAGAATAGCAATGAACAACCAGCAACCCACGTGGTCCTAAAATGTCTCCCTCGTGTTTTGGGAAAGTAATTTGGCTTTCCTGTCTTCTTCTGCAACGTGTCATTACGGCGCCTTAATTAAGCTGATACACGTGACGAACATTTCAAACTAAAACTTGACTAGCGTAAAGACGAGAATAAATTTTCTATGCCCGTTTACTAATTTGCATATCATTAGCATAAGTTTAAATCCCGAAATTCACGAGGCCCGCATCCGAAAAACGTATCGTACAACATTGTTAATTCACAATACGGAATTTAAATGTGCTGCTATGGTTACAAAATTAAAACAATAGTCGCTATAATAATTACACGTAAAAGTGTTAAATGTTAAACGAAAGTTACGTTTTACTTTATTTTATTTTATCGAAAGAACTAGTAGGAAGAGAATCACACTTACAGGTGTACGGTACCTGTTCGAGTTTACCCGTACGTGTGTACCCAGTTTTTATATACGTGTATTGTTGCAACAATTGCTTCTTTTGTCGTTAACTTCTCTCTACGAGTCACGTCACGAATAACGTGGGCGTAACATTCGATATTTTCCTGTAAAGGTCAATCATATTTTGACAAATGAGGGAGGATTAACGTATGCATACGTCGTAACGATCATTTAACAACTGGCTGCAACGGTTACGTCGTCATTCGAGCTGCCAAATCTCCCCTTTTGTCAGAGTCTTATACGAATTATTTAAACCAAATCCATTTACAATATGTCCTCTTCTCTTCTGTTTTAGTATCGTGCACCATAATCCAGACAATTGGAAACGAAATGGGTTCTTATTTCTTCTAAAAAAAATCTCGTTCGTATACGTCCCACACTAGCCATACACACACGCGCGTGTGTATTGTCGAATATAATGACCCTCTCTTTCTTGTTTGATTGGTCGATTCGTCGCCGTGCCGTTCACACGGCGTAAAGATAGAACAAATTGCAACTTGGACGTCGTTATTTCGAGGTATTTACGTGAAACGGTAGCAAACGTTAATGGACTTTCAGGCTTCTCGTCAGCCTGTTTACTTTATAATTGTTCTGTACAGGCCTAAAATTTATAAATTGCAGGCCTGTACGGTACATTCCCACTCGTTCCTGCGGTCTCGATTATCATTGAGACCGCAGGAACATCGACAGTAAAAAGTAGGAACATCGACAGTAAAAATTAGGAACATCGACAGTAAAAAAGTAATGATTTCATACAACTAACTCAAGTTTGAACGATCGATTTCACATTTTTAATTACTTCATTAAATGTAGAATCGCTTTCTGTTCACCGCCCCGTGTTCCTAGACGACTCCACCGACTTGTTAATCATTAGAAAGCATTTCCCTACTCCATATTTGATTTAAATTTCAGTAAATTAAAGTCGACGACGGTCACCAAGACCGGATTCTTTTCGTAATTACTGTAAATAGTGACGTAGTAGCCGGGATTACCAACCCGTAAGAAGGTTTGATGTAGATTTTACACGTGTTTTTTAATATTTAGGTGAAGGCGGAGGATGGAATTCGATCGCGTTTTAACGTCAGTTTACACAGACAATCGCTAGCGAAAGCGATTTTCTTTTTGTCGCTAGCTTATTGCGAGATATCGTAATTGATAGCGATAACGATCTAAAAAGATGGTCGATAACGGTAAATTATTAATTATTCCGTTATCTCGCATCTATTTATTAATTAAAAAGAAGAAAAAAAAAAAAAAACAAAAATGGCGCATCGCTTATACCAGTCGAAAATCGTTCCGCCATCTTGGATTTTTCTCTCTTCCTCTCTTTATGCCAACAAATCCGCCGTTCTGATTGGTGGGAATTTTTTTTTTCGCTAGCGATAAAACTGGATCGCCAGCGACTAAACACAAACATTCTCCGGAAATGGCGTCATTAATGACGTTAACTTAGCCTGTTGCGAATAGAACTCAGTGTGAAACGATATATTTAGAATTGCCGCAATTCTTCTGTAAAATAACCAAAATTAAATAATTAAATAACAATTTATTAATTTAATTATTCGTCTCTAATCTTTGTTTCTGTTGAAACTCAAGAGACGTTGAAATTTCCCCTGTTCAGTTCTATACAGTATTTGTTATTTCTGTGTGACGTTGATGGCTCCCTACTTTTATAGTCCATAAACAAAGAAAAATCCCATTTTCTTGAAGATAGGAACTAAGAAAGGATAGAATATACTTCGAAGTTTCTCTTGACAAAACTGGATGTTCATTATTAATGTATTGCCAAAATGGCAGTTTTTTTTTCGGATGGTGAAGAGTCTTTTGTTGTTTCGACGACACCTTTGAACTATTTAAAAGTGTTTACATTAAAATTTAATGATTGACGCCGTTGGAAAGCGATCGTACTGTCGACAGTGGAGTGAGTTCTTTCTTCTTCTTCTTTTTCTTCTTTTATGCTGAGAGGAATGGTCTCTGTCGAGCTTGATCTGTAGCGAAGGATTAAATCCTTCACCCTTTAGTCCTCACCTCTACAGATCTTTAAGTGTATTTACTTAATATGCAGCAAACAAAGCGGAAACTGCCAAACAAAATGACATTTCCGGCAATTTGCAACGACGTTCTGTGATAATGTAACGAGACCATTCAAAAGAACTCCTTCATCCCTTCAGTGGTCGGTCTCTCTTTGTTCTTTTCTTCCTTTTCTCCTTCTCTCTACCGCCTCTATAGTGTATTCTTGCTCATTCGTTACCCATTTTCCTATGCCCTTTGGCTACACGGGACTGTCGAGAGCAGGTATTACCTAGGGGCTGCAGAATGGCGGAAAAAATCGAATATTAATTAAAACGTATACCAGATATATCCCACAGTTGGACGTTATCCCACGAGCAAACCCAATACGGAGTACCAAATCAATCTATTATAAGAAAATATTCCCTGGAAGGTATACGTCTGAAGTCAACACTGTACAGTACGTGAGGCCTCCTAATTCGAATTTTCTTGGGCTCCGTGAAGCTATAATGCGCCACTGTATGATGTAGTTTACTTTTATTGACTGCATGCTCCATACCGAGCTTTCGATCTGGCTACATAAAAACGGGCACGTGCCTCTTTATCTTCCCTGCTCGAGGGGGAATGTAATAACGCCAGATGGTCACGACTCTCCGAGAAGAGCCTCTACCAATCACTGCCAGAGCAGTAACAGACTACTGACAATTAAGTGGCAACTCTGACCAACCGGAAGCGGTCTTAGTAGAGGTCAGTCGAGCACACAGCGAGGCATTAAACTACAATATTAAAGTAAAATTTCCGTCCAATTCATCCCTAAATTCTTTTAAGAATTCCGTTAGGAAAGGAGGATTTCGTCTCCTAAAGAGAGAAAGGCAGTGTTGCGTTATTATGCGAGAAAAAAAAGGACAATTGCCTGGGGTCCCCACCAACAGAGTGTCCTAAACTAATCCTTTACCAAAACATATTTTTTCCGAAGAATAATGTTCAAAGTCAACACTAATTTTCCTAGACCCTATGAAGATACACAATGCCACAGGGAAAGGGTAAGGCCAAATGTTAGAGTGGACTGTGGACTTTTATCGTTGCAAACAATAGAGATTTCTGTCCTGTTGTTTCTTTGTATTCAGTCGAAAGAAAATCTTTTCTCAAGGCGTTTTATTGATTTCTATGCTCTTTCTGTTTGGCAAATGTATCCTGATAAAGAGAAGAACCATCTTTTCAACACTCCCAACAGCTGTTTTCACTGATTAGATCTTAATAATACAAATGTTTAAATTTCTAAAGCAGTCGGAATTAAAGTCTCTTGTGGTAGATAGAAGACTCATGGGGAAGCTGAAAGGTAAAAGGGATGGTAGCGGTGTTGCAGGACAAGGGAGTCAACAATTCATTTCGAAACAAATACGTAAATAAAAAAAGATATACACTAAAAGGGGCGGTAGTCCGAAACACTGTTCTAAAGATATTGGCGCTTTTATTATTTCATGGAGCCAGGCAAATTTGAATTAGAGAGCCCAGTGTACAGTGTTGACTTTTACCGGTTTTCACCGGAAGTTACGTTATTTCAATTCAAAAATATTCCCCAGAAAACTGTTAGATAGATGACCTGCACGACACTGTTGCTAACAGGAAAAGTATGATTTACAGGGGCAATGAGAGATGGAGAGCATATATTTTAAATTAAATAAATTATTTAAATTGACAAATTCAGTGTCATTCATCTTGANAGAATGGAGTCAGATAGATGAAAATCGAGACCAGATACGGAAAGATTAAGAGGCCCCAATTAACTATATATAAGGCCCTATTAATAGGCGATCTTTTCCAGTACAGAGTTAGATAGAACCGGCATAACTATTGTTATCAGGAGAAGTATGATTTACAGGGGCAATGAGAGATGGAGAGCATATATTTTAAATTAAATAAATTATTTAAATTGACAAATTCAGTGTCATTCATCTTGAAAATTATAGAAAAAAAGTTTGTTTTATAAACAGTTTAGTGTTTTCACGTATTATTTTTAATTGTCTTCCAAAAATCTAGAGGATTCCGAACGTTTGTAGTAATTAGTTTTTAATCTCGTTATATTACTTCTTGTTTATGTTGTTAAGTTGTTTAATCGATTTGTAATTTCTTCAGTGTCTTCCTCTATATATTACACCAGCTTTTCTTTTTCCACAGGCCGTTTTTTTAATCATCTAAACAGCACTTTTATCCACGTAAGGTCTTAAGCGATGTTTTCATAATTTATGACACTTCTTTTGTTGTGTACTAGAGGAAAATTTTTTGTATCTATAGTATTTATTCAAATATACATGAAAAACACGCAAACTTTACTACAATTTCATGTATAAATTACATAAATTTACATGAATATCTTTCCCGAATTTATTCTAAAAGAATTTTGTTTATCGAAGGCTGTTACATAACAGAAGGAAAGTATGGCAATCGGTCAAAAAAATGACCACCTTCCCCCAACATTTTGACATTTTAGGACTCGAAGGACCTTGAAACGACGACCAATTTCATCCAAATTTGGGGGTTTTTTCAGTATGCATGGATATTAGAGCGCGTGTCTGCGGGAGGCACGATGTTTCTTCGCTATTTTGAAGTTTAATAACTCGCATACCCTTTGTCAAAAATTTCTGAAAATTTGCACGGAGGTTCGGGTATTAGTGAAGAATGTTTCTTGAAATTTTCGAGAAAATCGGTTTATTGGTTAGGGAGATACGGCCCCACAACCTTAATATCTTCTGAACGTTTTATCTTTATAATGGTCTTTCCTTGGACAAAAGACGATAAGAGGTGTAATAATCTATGGTCAAATTGTATATAAGTAGTCTGATGTTTGTTAGAACGAAGTGGGATGATTTTTATCGGCAACGATCTTTAAATTAAATTGTAAAGAGATTAAATTGGTGAACTCTTGTTACGGTAATTTAACTGTCTTACATTATATTAAACCGTCCATTAACTACTTCTATTATTTAAATTCTTAATGATATACTTCTTATTTATTAGTTTAAATGTTTGTTCGTTCTCTTCCGGAACATTTTACGCCATTTTACGAAAAGGATCAGTCGGTCTTACACGTTTTCGCTCGGCCTGGTCGGAGATTTGATCGCGATTTTCCACGCCGCGATAAAATCTCTCGCTATCAAATCTCGCAACTTAACTTCCGCTCTTCCTTAGAAAATATGCTTCGGTTTAACATTCCGATCTTTCCTGTTTTCGTTCCGTCCAATCCACGTCGTAGCTCCACCCATTCCGTTCTTCGGACCGCCCCAACGAGTAAAGTATTTTTGTTACGATACGGGCGTAAGATGCGACGAAGCGATAAAATAGTCGCTTTGTCTAAGACAATTGAGAGATCTTTGGCATCCAATATGGACTTTCGAGACGGGTTTTTTTTTTTTCGTCTTTCGCTCTTCCTACTCTCCGAACATCCCCGAATTTCCCCGTCCTTTCATTTTGAGCGTTGGGATGATGTTTGGAGGCGTACGATCGACGAGGGGAGGTCCCGTCGCGCGATGGAATTTCGTGGGCGGTAGTAATTCCGATCGACTGCTCTTCCTACTTCCGTTTTATCCGTGCCATTCGGAAGGACAGAACCCCTCTCTTTTCGCTTCGGGAGTTTGGGGACGACCCCACAGCCGCTCGGAGGCTGTGGAGCGTCACTTAAGAGCGAGATTTGATAGCGAATTGCGATCGCTCTCGTATTTACTTCTCCAGAGGGAACGTGTCTCGGAGTTTTTCTAATTTCTCAGAAGTTTTTCGCTCCCCTCTCCCGCGTGTCTGATCTTTTACGTTTTCTTCTCGCAGCCAAGCGACCTCCGGTGGAAGAAACTGCTAATTTCCTTCAGACGCTTCTCGCCAACCACGGACCCAACTACCTGGAGAAACTGTTCGGAAACAAAGCCAGAGATGCTCTTGCGCCTCTTGGAGGAGTGCAGAAAGTAGCCGTGGCTCTATCGGGTCAGTATAACCTCTTTCCATTACTTTATTATGTCCTAACTTCGACGCGTAAACGTATTAAGCCTTTGATTCCACTTCCAATTTTTGTTAGCGACAGCGACGAGCGATAGCGACAAAGATGAAGAATCTAAGACTACGCCAAAGTGTCGATTAAAAAACGAATACATCAAACAATTAGATTCGCTGTCGCACTTTCCAGCGTAGTGGATGAACTCTATTATTGTGACGTCAGCGCTTAAAACTTGCAAGTGGAATTAAGTTTTAACGCGTGCGTCGAAATCGCGTCACTCCAATCGCTTCTCGCTCCAGTTTAACGGTACACGAAACGGTATTTACGTCACTAAACACCGAGTAAGTTTCCAATCACGTGATTCACCCACGTCATTATTTATGGTATTTTAATATAATTTTCGATTGTTGCGGACTTCTTACCTTATACCAATCATGTGAGAATAATGGAGCATTTTATAGCGTGTTCCTAGTATAAATATATACAGTATACAGTGTACAGTACATGCTGTTTGTTAAGTTAATGCTAACCTAACATGCATGCATTCAAATTATCGACCTTAAAGTTGTGATACCCAAACAATTTGTTGTTTCTGTGACAACAGAAAACACCCTTTCACAAAATAAAATGGATAATAACAAAGGATAAAACCTTTTCGTAATTCATTTGTGAGAATTTTGGTATTAACTTATACGGAATGCCCTATTTGGGGCCTTAAAGAGGAGGAGATGAGCTGGGGAAAACTTAATTCATACCCCTATAAAATTATTGTTATAGAATCTTTAAGGCTGCTTTTATTAATAAAAAAAACACCCTAAGCATTTCATTAAAAGATTAAACGGGCTTGGTCTACCTCTGGCACCATACAAGAGCTAGTGTTTACAGACATCTTCAAAGTAAACCGTTTCTTCAGCCACACGTCTGTGCTTGACAAATGTCACACACATAACCAATTGTCATAGCAATTCCCCGGAAGCTAACTTCTGTGATGTCATCGAGGGTTTTCGTCGCTGCAGCTTTTACCCTTCACTCGTTTCTAGCTAATGAATATCTAACCAAGACCGGCATAACAATGCTTTGTCAACCCCTTTATCCTTTGATCTCGCTTCCGAAAGGTTTCATCTTTTCCGATAAGAAGGAAACTGCGGCTACAGAAGTCATTAAAGACATTATAAAAATGATTTCCAGGACTGTTTTGATAAGCAGAAGGTGTATAGCTACAATAGAAGTGGTGTAAATTAAGTAAAGTGTTAATTAAAGGATCCTATACCATACCCGCAGCAAATTTTACACGATTATTCTTCGACACCGTAGAGAAAATACTATGTGATCTTCACTTCCAATCATCTCTAAAGTCAACCCCCCTCTTAACATCAATTTTTTGTGTTTTTCAGTTTCATTATTGTAAATACTTGTGAGTAGAGTAATTTAAGACGAGGATACACAATACCCTATTGTATTTAATCGAGAAGAAACGCTCGATATCCGATACTGTATGTGGGGGTAGTGTACTTTATCGATTAAAAAAATAAACTCCCGGTTTCCATTTAAATAAATGAAATTTGTTTTCTCTTTCAGAGAGCGAGACCATCGAAGATTTCGGGAAAGCGTTGCACCTGATGAGAACCGATTTAGAACACCTGAAGAACGTCTTCGTGGCGGTGGAGAGCGGAGACATGAGCCTCCTTAAATCACTGGGAATTAGGGATTCGGAACTTGCTGACGTCAAATTCTTTCTGGACAAACTCGTCAGTACCGGCTTCATGGACTGAGACGGGCACCATCCACTTCCTTCCATTCCTTTCTTCACTTCTTCCGGACGCCATTTTGTTTTTTCAGACCACCGCAAAAATTGGGAGAGACAAAGAGAAAGAGAGAGAGAGAAGAGGAGGAAAATTATCCCCGTTCTAAATTTAAGAAACTCCATTAAATCGATTTTAATCCATCCCAAAATACCACAACCGAAACGAAGAAGAATAGGGAACGTCGAAGAGGAGCCAAGCCGCAAATTAAGCACAATATTCTTTTTTTTTTTCTTTTCTTTTCTTCCTCCCCCTCCTCGTGTAGGTGTACTAATCAGAATAGGGGGGAAAATTACGTTGGTACCCGCTAGCCCGAAACCATCCGAAAAACGATAAAATCGACGACTCTACCCGAAAGTTAAAAGCTCGAAGCCGTGTATTAATGTCTAGAATTGGGTTGTGCCTCCTCTTGAAATTCCTTATTCATCTTTAAATATCGAAAAAGTCGTGGAAATTGTCCTCCACGCCATACGCAACGATCGTCTTACAAACAAAAGAACTGTTGTTTATTGTTAATAGTTGTGTCGATATTCTATGAATGTCGTTTTCTGATATCTTCGTGGCAAAAGTCACGCGAGACTTCACGGCTTTGTTTGTATTGTTTATTCTTTTATCTTCTCTATCAACTTGATTAAGTTGTCGATATTCCGTCGTTTAACCACGTCAGCAAAAAAAAAAAAAAAAATATCGAAATATCCTTTGTATAGCATATAGATAGAAGATAAAATTTTATGTGTAAGATTATATAAATATATACAAAAATATATATATATACATATATAGAAATATCAATCTGTATAATTATGCAGTATATTATATATCTATCCGTTGTTGTATACGATCCTTTGTTGGTATCTGCATCGATTGTTATAACAATTCCTTCCTAATTTAATTCTAAATTACACAAATTTGGAGCCTGGTGCATGAAAGAAACACAATAAATATATTGACTGCATTTCTTTTCTTGGCATTTTTCTATTTATTCTTTGTAAAATCTTAGTATTTACAGAGAAAAGAAACCCCTCTCCAGATAGGTTAATTAGATCCAGAAAGGTAAGTGATGGCATTCCTCCTGTGTGGTTCCATGTCTGTTTAGAAAGGAGCAACGTCCTTCTTTTACAAGTTACTTATTAGAAAGATATAAGGAAAGATTAGGCACTTTTTTTACTTTGCCTTTTGTGGAAGGCGGAGATGGAGACGAGGAGGAATTACCCATTGGAACGAGGCAAACGTGTTGCCTGTGACACATCGATATTGCCATTCGGGGCAAGGCACGCATTCGCTACGTGAATAATTCATGCGTTGTATTGATTGGCTTACACGCGCTTAAAATTTCGTTCAAGTTAATATTTTCCAGGCCGACGGATAAACGTGCCAGAGAACAATAGCGTGCCCTTCATTTTGAATTTTTATCGAAGGTAAAACCTCTTTAACGACCGAAATATTAAAGTCGCTGGTGAAGATAACGCCGCGATTTAAATTTAGGGTAGATTTAACGGATCAATTGACATTATTATTATTATTATTATTAAAATACGGTCTTATGAAATTCTAGACAAATATAAACGCGCTCCAGTTTAAAAAGTTGCTGCGGCCGATTCGCACGGGCCGATTGTTGCTGCGACAATCCTGCCCGTGCGAACCGACAACTTGTAACCTGTTTGGCGATTTCTTCAGTGGAAACTGTCCTCACGGCCATATTCGTTGGGATGTAAGCCGACAGAGACGTCGTCCGGTGTTCGATCGATAAGATCAAAACTGTTTTCGTGTTTGCAGGGAGAAGACAGTTGTTTGCTTCGCATTTAATCCTATTTGCGAGATCGATAGAGAGAGCGCGGCTCGACGCCCGACTCTATACCCACGCTACAATATCGATTATCGATCCTTGTCGGGTAGAAACCAGAACAAAAGAACAAAACCGAAAACAGGTGGCCACCATAGGTAAAGCGGGTGTTTCGACGATGAGCCGATTTCACACGGGATATTCCGAAGGCGCAGTATATATAATGGCCGACTTTCGTTTATTTTCGCTGAACTTAGTGTTTAAGCTGTGTTCTAATTAATTAGTAAAACTTCGAAAGTTATTAAAAATACAGTTAATTGATAAACATTTCCGTCGATTAATCTACTACGGGGGTTGCCAGATGTTCCGTTTTTCCGAGATTTTCTCGGATTTTTTTTTTCAACTGCCATCCAGAGAGACAGGTGACGTTATTTAAAAAATAAAACAATGAATGAAAGAACTTTATTGTAGAAATACACTTCTAACAATGGCGGATTACCCAATAGGTTCACTAGGGCCTCGTCGTCTAGAGGGGCCTCAAAAAAATTAATACGTCTCCAAAAGTTTTATTTCTCATCCCGGTAAGAACAGTGGCATAACTGACGATTTTATTGTCTTTCTAATAGAAAAAAAAACGCACTTACACTATAACGAAATTGCACCTAGGCCTTAAAGGAACAGGCCTAGACGAGATTTTATTATAATGCCCGCTACTTACGTCTATTATAAATCTTGGAATTGAAGCATCCCAGTATCTTCGTGAAAGGCCTCAAGTACAGTCGACTCCCTATAACACTGTTGATAATTCCGTTTTATATAAATACCATGTTGTACGAGTCACTTACATTTTACAAATACATGTGCCGGGCTGTGAATGGCTCACGTATTTGTAAAAAATCTAAGTAACTCGTACAACATGGAATTCATATAAAACGAAATTATCAACAGTGTTATAGAGGAGTCGACTGTACAGTACGTTTCGGTTTTAGACGAATAATTACAGTTAACGAATGTCTAAGTTAAAATTTGCAATTTTAAATTATGCAGGCAAATAGTAACCTTCGTTATTTAGGGATAGTATTCGAGTCGTAAATTGTCTGGTCAGTTTTCCAAATGTAACCATGGTTACCGGTACAATTTGTACTGTTAATATAGTTTTTTCGTGTCATTCGGAATTGACTCGTCATATGGCAAAAGGCGATTATTCCAGACAACTTACTATAAGCTTACCGGTCTTTTTTTTCTATTGTTACGCAGTGACGTGATTAACTAATAACAATTGGGAACATTTTCGCTTCTTGTCTTGGCATTAATCACAACTCGAGGTTTGCCCTTCTACTTAGGAACCACCCCGTATATTGTATATGATCAGATAGATGAAAATCGAGACCAGATACGGGAAGCTTAGGGATCGGAGGACCCATTAACTATACAAGAGGTTCAGTGTCATGCCCCTGTAAATCATACTTTACCTGTTAACAATAGAGTCACACCAGTCATCTATCAGACATAATTTGGGAAATTTCAGCCCAAAAAAACGTATAATTATTGCTGAAGTTTTCCTAGGTAAATTTGATTTTTAAGTACACGTTAAAAAAACATTCGAAATTCTTGTTTATTTTATTAAATTTACACATGGATAAAACAAAACTGGAACGATTTAATATATACAAAAACCCTACGTCATGAAACAAGTGTAAGAGATCGAATGCAATTTACTCTGTGTGTGTGACTGTATTCGTTGGTGAGTCATTGGAGGTTCAGTTAATGACCTTTATTCATTGCAGTCACGGTAAGGCTTTTAGAGGCTTATGTTTCCTCCTTTGTCACTATACTCTAAGTATTATCCGATGTAACTAACGTACCTGACAGAAAGATGTATTATTTTCAACCATCAATTTATTATATTTATGTGAGAGGAAGTCGTTACGGGTGTGCTGAAAACTGTAATTTTCTACGAGTTTGCAAAACAGATGATATGCAAATTTATTCATTAACGTCATTTTCGATTCCCACCTTTACTTAAAATGGAAATTTGTATTACTTCTATACTTAAAAATTATCTATTTATCAATTCCTCTTTTAAAGAAGCATCTGTCGAGCAACGAAACACCCGCATCACTTCCCATATGTACGCCACAGCGTATGGTTTTCTTAATGAAATGATGATGTAGTAGTACAAAAATGTAACTTAATAATATATTTCTCATTATATTAAGATTTAACAAGATATAATGACAATTCCTTTGTTTTAACGTAATTGCTACGGTACAAAAGCTATTACTTATCATTTTGCTGCTCGTAAACAATGAAAACTTCACGCTTCTACACAATTTTATTTTATTAAATTTTAGTTGAAATATTATATATATATATATATTTGTCTCTAAGATGTAATATTTCTGGCTCCCTATTGTTTAACAGGGAGCCATGTTTTAGTCATTCTCAAGGCCGATCTACAGGGCAACTAAGAATGATCAGAGTATTGGAGCAGGGCGCAGTGTTTGATCAATCTCGGAGACAATACGTAATTATTATTATTGTTCTATGCGGGATACACTGCAGTTATTCCATTTAAAGCACTTTTACTTAAGTATAAAGCAATTGTACAATTTGTAATTACACAACAACATTTTAAACACATTAAGTACTACTAACTACTTTTATGTATATTATTTTAAATAAATGTTTAAACAGTAGAAGATATAAATAAACCGTAACAAATTCGTTTTATTCTCCCGAAACAGTAGCATTAATACGAATTTTTCGTATATTTGTAACACGAGCCATTTATATAAATGTGTCATACGTATGCATTAACTATATTTCTAAGCTTATGGGTGAAAAATATACGTTGCAGTCAGAAAGCCCTGAGCGAAAGGGGCCCAAAATATATAATAAAATCGTATAAATGTCATTTGCAATTGACTAATAATAAATACTAACAATTAGATTATTAACCGAATTTAAATATTTGATAATTTTTGAATATGGCAGAACTTTCTGACATTAAAAAAATAAATAAATAACTTCGAGTCTAAATTTTATTTAATCCAATGAATAATAATCAATATCAATTTAATAACCCGATAATCTTTTACTAATCAATCCTATCAGGCTACATTAAGGCTAATTAATTCATGAGATATTAAGTATTCCGGTAGAGGTGGACGGTTATGCGCGCCATCTCGTGTTAAATTTAGCAAATCAGGAATAAAATCAATTTTTATTTCAATTTATTTATTATAATACCTTGATAAAGATTTGCTTGATTAATTTATCAAAGATGATAATTTTACAGATATTTTTATACGGTGAATTTAAAAAAACATTGAGCTGTAATTTGGCATGGAAGTAGGGTTGCCAGGTATCGTGGAAAACCGGGAAATCTGGCAACCCTAACTAGAAAAATAACCTTATCGAGAGGTTTTTTCTTGTTTAAAATACGTCTGGAATCCGATACTGCTGATTTGTATACTATATTTACGGTATATACACTAAATACAGTAATATTTAGTGTATTTTCAACACACTAAATACAGTTATTTAATCATTTATACTATATAGTGGGATGGAAAAGTGGAAAATTTCTATTTCGTACACTACTTTTACTTCTGTCTTTATAATACAATTTACCAAGCTATAGAAGATGCTAAGGCCTGGGACATTACCCCGAAAATAGAGCCGAAATTCAAAATGACGTAACGTTCCGCAGAAATCCGACTGAAAACAAAGTTGAAAATATTTCTACTTTTTTGAAAAGTTTTCTCTTAGATATATATTTATTAATTAAAATAAATAATAATTCAATGTTTCCCTTTTTCGGCCCACATATTACCTTTGACGATGCCAACGATGGCCGAGTGGATAGAACTAATGTACATTGGTACTTGGTTGTGGGTTCGTGCCTTGCCAGCGGGTCGGCAAGTAGAACTTTTCGGGTTTTCGGACAATTGGTTCGGGAGATATGGCCCCATCACCTTAATCTCTCCCGAACCAATCTGAAGACTTTTTAAGGTAAATGGTAGCAATTATTAGGGATGAAAACAAATAATGCCGGGAGAGACTAGCAACAATGTTGCCAGCTTCTTTTTTTAAAAATACCCCTGAAAATATATCGCGTTCTCTAGGTTGGGGAAGAATTAATGATATTTTTCTTAACTCGTAGAGTC